ACATGACCGCTCTTTCGTACATGGCATACGTGGTATGCAGATCCATCTACAAGGCTTGGTCAGGATTCGCAAAGTGGGCGACTATGCCGTTGTTTCAGATGAGGGAAAGTTTCGCACTTGGCCAACGCTATGATGTGCTTGGAAAGTGGGGATCTTTGGCGGCAGTGGATAGGGAAACGGGTGTGAGCAAGGATGTGACTGATGAGGAGATCATTCGCTTTGCCAAGGAACCTGAGAACCTCAAACAGTATGATCCCAACGGGACTTACACCTTGAAGCGCTTCCGGACGAACCAGATGCTTTCTTTACTTACACGGGGAGCCAACATGATGGGAATTGGCAGGGACAACTTCAACCCTACTACTTACTTGAAGAGCGAAAGGGATGAAGATGTGAAGGCTATGCACTTTTGTTGCCTGAACGTCCTGTGCGAGGTGATTCCAATGGTGACGGGACACCAACAATTCTCAGTGCTACGACCAACGCCAACTGGACCAGTGGACTTCTTGTACATCGACCCCGTCGGTATTCTGCTGACTCATTCTGATCAGTCAGTCCAGACCATCGGCTTGCTGGTGGACCACAGTGTGCAAATGCCTGCGCATTTCATGGACAGATTGAACAGATCCAAGGCTGAGAGACAGCAAAACCCGACGACCAAGCGTACGGAAGCCCTACACCACATTTCGGCCGCTGACTATCTTCCTCCAGGTGGCACGTCCATCCTGGACACGCCTGTCACTACGGAGGAACGTGAAAGCGCTTCTTCATCCAAGGGACCTTCAAAAGGGCGTGGAAGAACCGGAGGTGAGCAACATGGTGGCTGGAACACCAATTCCTACCACGACTACATCGCCGGCAAAGGCCGAAACAAAGGCAAGGACAAAGGAAAGCAGAGGAACCAGTATCCAGAGGAGAACCTCCGGCCCTGGGAACGCGATCCTACGTCAACGCGAAGATGGTGGCGAGACAACGCCTGATCTTCCTCGCCTATCAGTTCGTGACCTCTGAGCTTCGCCCATGGAATGCCATCGCGAATGCTTCTTTCTTCGGTGACGCCTGATTCGTTTGTCATTTCAGGGGATCGTTACTGACGTAGATGAGTGTCACAACGTTTCTAATTGGGATGCAAAGCTCTGATTTTCAATGTCAACGTTGCGGCGGAACATTTTCTGTTGTCCTATCGTGCCATCTTCCGGGTGAGCAGCGTCGGAGACGCAACTCATGGGGGGTGCGAACGGACTGCGATGCCTTGTCAAGTTCTAAGGTGTCACTATAAGAGCTGTGAGCAAGACCGTGTAAAGTGCAAGAGAAGGGGGCACGCTACGCGTCCCTCGACTCTAAGGGGGCATGCTACGCATCCCTCATCTTTACCTTTCTATGTGACCGCCAACGCAACGTTTGGCTCAAGTCAATGCCCATAGCTAAGTGCTATATGTGTCTTCTATCCTGAGCAATCAGAGCTATCCCGTTGCACAGACGAACCGCCGCCGGCAGTGAGTGCAAAAGGAACGGCCGCCGGTTCTGCCTGCATAGGATTGCACGTGTGGAAGTAAGAGGGAGAGACAGGGTCCAGTCTGTGGAGAGTGCTAGCCAGCCACACTTACATTCATTACAGCTCTGGTGGGGAGAGCAGCAACCAAGTCGAGATCAATCCCCCACGCACTATTTTTATTACTATCACTATCACTATCACTATTACTATTACTATTACTATTACTATTACTATTACTATTACTATTACTATTACTATTACTATTACTATTACTATTACTATTACTACTACTACTACTATTGTTACTATTACTATTACTATTACTATTACTATTACTATTACTATTACTATTGCTACTATACTACTATTACTATTACTATTACTATTACTATTACTATTATTACTATTACTATTACTATTACTATTACTATTACTATTACTATTACTATTACTATTACTATTACTATTACTACTACTACTACTATTACTACTACTACTACTACTCCTACTACTCCTACTACTACTACTACTAGTACTACTACTACTACTACTACTACTACTACACATGGAGAAAGTTTTTTTTTGATTGGAAAAAAGTTTTTTTTGATTGGTGAAAAAGTTTTTTTTTATTTTCGCTGAAAGTTTTTTTTGATTGAAAAAACGTTTTTTTTTTGATGGGTTTCCCGATCTAGACTAACTTAAACTTCGTGACTTGGAACGTTAAGGTCACTGGCGTGGCAGCGGGGACGACGATGAGGCATCGGCATGAAGCCTAGTTGGCAAGACCCGCATGCCTTTCCGAAGCATCTGAACCATGGCAAAGTGCGGTGAAGTCCAGATTGGATTGTGTTTGTTGGTGTGATGTTATTTGGCCCTGTACTTTGCATCGTGGATTCGTCAGAGTAAGGCGGGAGGCAAAGGATGTCATGGTGTGACTCACAGTGTGACGGGCTGAGGCTTCGGAGACAGAGTCCGACGAAGAGCTGTTCGGGGCTCATTCTAGCACAAATGCTCTCTCTCTCTCTCTCTGCCACACCATGTGCCGTTTCCCTTCTACTCAGGACCACATGGCAGTTGCCGGAGGAACGCATGTGGAGGGTCCAGGCCAGGATCACCTGGCAGGCATGCCTGGGAGATTTCCCGCACTGGCTCCGTTCAGGCTCTCAACTTGTCGCAGCGTGACAGCCGTGAAGATGGATTGGCAGTGTAGCCTCATCTAGGCAGTGTAGGCTGAAAAGGCGAAGATGCGCCCCCCCTTAAAGCACCAGAAGCAACCATGCAAAGCAGTAATGAAGGATAAGTCCGGCAGATCTCTACATTTACAAGTGGCACATGCCAGGAACTCAAAGCATGGTTCAGAAGTATGGAAGCAAAGCCTTCCGGGCAGCTGCAAGGCAGACCCAGGGTTGTTCTGCTGAAGGTCGGGTCGAACTGGTGCCATGCTTCCACAAGCCTGATTGTTAACACCATGTTCTGAACACCATGCATCGAGTTGGCGTGCACTGTGCACTTTCAGAGTCTCACAAGTCCTGGCAGCAGATCAAGGGCCCAGAGGGAACTTGAATGCTTCCAGGAAAGTGTATCTTCAGGATGGCTCGATGCCATGCGCACAACAAAGATCAAGCTGACCCGTTTGAGGGCTAGCATCACACGGGCCTTCTCGTATCAAGAACTGAGCGGTGAGGTTCAGTTTGGCCTGACGAGCTCCGGGATCTGGAAGGATATGCAGACGTACTCCGTAGAGTTTGAGCGTAGCGCGAGAGATCCCTTTGGAGCAAAAATCTCTTTGGAGCTGCAGACGCTGGACGCTGCAGAACGCGAATTTGCCGAGCGAGGCTCCGAGCCTCTCCGAGCCTCGCTCGGCCGCTACTCGTGCACGCATTTTGTCGATTTTGGTTCAACCGCTGATTCCTCGCACCTGCAAGCAGTGAGCGCGGCAGCGGAGCTCCGATGGCCTTGGAGCAGAGGACGGAGCAGAACGGCGGGCGCAATTAAGGCTGTAAGATGCTGTAAGGTTCGAGTTTAATAAGCTTCAAAGGGGCGTCCAGCTTCGACCCTTCGAGCTCGGCCATTGGGCATTTTAGGCGAACTGCGCTCCACGCAGGGCGCAATGACAGAACACCATGAAGTGGAATAAGGAGCTCAGAAACCGGAGGCGGGCGTGAGGCCCTGTCATCCGGCACATTGCGCCTTTGGTGGAGTTGAAGCGCAGTTATCGTCTCTGTTCGGCTGGAGGACAGTCCAACTTCCTTGGCTTTGCAAGTCTGGAGGCTTTTCGACCTATTTTGAGGTCAGCGCCAGTCCGTGCAAGCATGATTTTGTTCGTACACTGCCGTGTGCCGTGTGCAAGCTGTGCAGCTGTGGCTCGTGAAAGTCTGTACGCCACTGCATGCTGCAAGGGAGGTGGTTGCATTAGCTGATTAGCTCTGGCTTGGCTATTGGCCTCTGTGCTTCTGTTCCGCTGGTGCTCTGCTCAGTCATCTGGGGCGGGATCGGCCCAACTCCTGGCCGGGCAGGCGCATGTTGAGGGACGTCGAGCATGGATGTCCATGCGCTGTGCTCTGTGGATGCGTACATTGGGCGGAAAGCATCAAGAAAGTTTGCCTCGAGTTTCCCACGGACTGTATAAGTCTTTAAATTTGATGGATAATCAAATTCTGCCCTGCTCCAGACGGATGTTGCCCGAACCAACCGAGAGCAGTCTTTTTTCAGGCCATGCTGCTTTTCCGGCTCTGGGTTCCGGCCTCAGGAATGATGGAAGCTCCAAGCGGTATCGAGGTTTTTGCACTCCTGGAACCAAAAAACAGAGTCAGACTGCGTACTGGGTGCTCAGGTCCTCGGCTTCCATCTTTCCGTCGGCCAGCTTGACATCCCAGGTGCAGCGGCCAAACACGTCAAGCCGACTCGATTCACAAAGCTGGAAGGTCAGCCATCAGACGCATACAATGCGATTGTTGGCCGCCTAGGGCAGCACTGGCCTTGGTCCGGCTGCCTGAAAAGTTCGCATCCACAATTTGCCAAACCCAAGCTTCGATCCTAGGTCGCAGCTGCCCAACCCGACGGCAAGCTATGGAGGTGGCTACAACTTGTCGGCCCATGCAAACCTTCCATACGGAGGCTTTGCTGATGCCCCGAGACCAGTCTGCGAACGTCGCGTATGATTCCGACAGGCGACGCAGCGACCATTGTGCACCATTCCATCCAGACAGCGCATGACATCACAGGCCATGTCAATCGCTTGCGTGTCTGGAAGCCAAGCGGCTAAGGGGAGGCATGCACGGTTCCGTGTATCAGCGTGCTGCTGGCATGCATGTGCCTCGCGGCCAGATAAACATCCTACAGCGTTTGCTTGGAAGGTCGGATCCACGCCATGATCGCAGGGGGGGCCCACGGAGGCACACCCCATGATGACCCGAGGTTTGTCGCTGTCGTTGCTGATCTAGGTAGGGCCCGAGGGCCGAGGGCTGCGGACCTGGCAGGTCCGGGTCCTCCAGACCTTCCGGGGATGGCGACTGGCTCAGTTCCGGACTATGACTATGCCTCAAGCTCGGCCTCGCCCTTCGCTGGCTGCGCCCTCAACAGCTGGAAGGGAAGCCAGTAGTCCTTTGACAACGTCAAGAGCGCTCGAGGAGGCTATTCCTCCACAGCAGAGCCCTTTGCGACTGGTTGGGCGCCTGGAGGGTTTCTTGATGCGTGCCGATGGACCCGCTGGTTTTTCTACTGCACATTCCAATCAACTTGTCAGAAGCCTCGGGGATGTTTGGCGGAGGCTGGGGCTGATGTTCCAGGCTGTTCTTGCATGGGTGTCGGCCTGCTTGTGGTCTGCAGGATCTTCAGACTCGACGGCTTCATTGGGGGGTCGCTTGGCTCCCGACGGCTCTTAGTCGCTTTTTCGGAGGAACCTGATCCTGAGTGTGTGCGACCGTTGCGCGCTAGACGAGTGGCTAAAGTCGAAAGTCTAAAGAGTTTGTCTAGGAGTTCCCCGGCACTGGAATTGCATCACGCGGCTTTGGCTGTTGATGTTGGGAAGAAGTCCTGCTGATAAGCCGCTGTGCTTACGAGGTGCCTCGAGTGGCTCCGTCTCCCTGGGAGGAGTGTGCGTGCGGCAGAAGTTGTGCGCTTTTCAAAGTGCGGTGGCAAGCATGCGAGCTTGGAATCCAGGAGGGTCCTCAAGCTCCATGGGATCGCACCTCTCTGGCCGGGCCCTCAAACGGCTAGCCTGTTTGTTGATGTTCCCCGCTTTCTGAGCATGACGTTGTACTGGACGCGGATCAGAGATCGCTTGCAGGAGGCGCCTCCTCAACGGCCTCGCACTTAGCGAGCGGCTGGGCGCCTAGAGGGTTTCCTAATGTGCGCCGATAACCGGTCGCCGGTCGTTTTTGCACTGCACATTCCAAAGAATGTAGCAGGAGCCTCGGGGATGTTTGGCGGAGGCTGGGGCTGATGTTCTAGGCTGGTCTTGCATGGGTGTCGGCCTGCTTGTGGTCTGCAGGATCTTCAGACTCGACGGCCTCATTGGGAGGTCGCTTGGCTCCCGACGGCTTTTAGTCGCTTTTTCGGAGGAACCTGATCCTGAGTGTGTGCGACCGCTGCGCGCTAGACGAATGGCTACCGTCGAAAGTCTAAAGAATTTGTCTAGGAGTTCCCCGGCACTGGAGTTGCATCACGTGGCTTTGGCTGTTGATGTTGGGAAGAAGTCCTGCTGATAAGCCGCTGTGCTTACGAGGTGCCTCGAGTGGCTCCGTCTCCTTGGGAGGAGTGTGCGTGCGGCAGAAGTTGTGCGCTTTTCAAAGTGCGGTGGCAAGCATGCGAGCTTGGAATCCAGGAGGGTCCTCAAGCTCCATGGGATCGCACCTCTCTGGCTGGGCCCTCAAACGGCTAGCCTGTTTGTTGATGTTCCCGGCTTTCTGAGCATGACGTTGTACTGGAAGCGGATCAGAGATCGCTTGCAGGAGGCGCCTCCTCAACGGCCTCGCACTTAGCGAGCGGCTGGGCGCCTAGAGGGTTTCCTAATGTGCGCCGATAACCGGTCGCCGGGCGTTTTTGCACTGCACATTCCGAAGAATGTAGCAGGAGCCTCGGGGATGTTTGGCGGAGGCTGGGGCTGATGTTCCAGGCTGGTCTTGCATGGGTGTCGGCCTGCCTGTGGTCTGCAGGATCTTCAGACTCGACGGCTTCATTGGGAGGTCGCTTGGCTCCCGACGGCTCCCTGATCCTGAGTGTGTGCGACCGTTGCGGGCTAGACGAATGGCTAAAGTCGAAAGTCTAAAGAATTTGTCTAGGAGTTCCCCGGCACTGGAGTTGCATCACGCGGCTTTGGCTGTTGATGTTCGGAAGAAGTCCTGCTGATAATTAAGCCGCTGTGCTTACGAGGTGCCTCGAGTGGCTCCGTCTCCTTGGGAGGAGTGTGCGTGCGGCAGAAGTTGTGCGCTTTTCAAAGTGCGGTGGCAAGCATGCGAGCTTGGAATCCAGGAGGGTCCTCAAGCTCTTTGGGATCGCACCTCTCTGGCTGGGCCCTCAAACGGCTAGCCTGTTTGTTGATGTTCCCCGCTTTCTGAGCATGACGTTGTACTGGAAGCGGATCAGAGATCGCTTGCAGGAGGCGCCTCCTCAAGGGCCTCGCACTTAGCGAGCGGCTGGGCGCCTAGAGGGTTTCCTAATGTGCGCCGATGACCGGTCGCCGGTCGTTTTTGCACTGCACATTCCAAAGAATGTAGCAGGAGCCTCGGGGATGTTTGGCGGAGGCTGGGACTGATATTCTAGGCTGGTCTTGCATGGGTGTCGGCCTGCTTGTGGTCTGCAGGATCTTCAGACTCGACGGCTTCATTGGGAGGTCGCTTGGCTCCCGACGGCTTTTAGTCGCTTTTTCGGAGGAACCTGATCCTGAGTGTGTGCGACCGTTGCGCGCTAGACGAATGGCTAAAGAAGTCGAAAGTCTAAAGAATTTGTCTAGGAGTTCCCCGGCACTGGAGTTGCATCACGCGGCTTTGGCTGTTGATGTTGGGAAGAAGGGGAAGAAGTCCTGCTGATAAGCCGCTGTGCTTACGAGGTGCCTCGAGTGGCTCCGTCTCCTTGGGAGGAGTGTGCGTGCGGCAGAAGTTGTGCGCTTTTCAAAGTGCGGTGGCAAGCATGCGAGCTTGGAATCCAGGAGGGTCCTCAAGCTCCATGGGATCGCACCTCTCTGGCTGGGACCTCAAACGGCTAGCCTGTTTGTTGATGTTCCCCGCTTTCTGAGCATGACGTTGTACTGGAAGCGGATCAGAGATCGCTTGCAGGAGGCGCCTCCTCAAGGGCCTCGCACTTAGCGAGCGGCTGGGCGCCTAGAGGGTTTCCTAATGTGCGCCGATGACCGGTCGCCGGTCGTTTTTGCACTGCACATTCCAAAGAATGTAGCAGGAGCCTCGGGGATGTTTGGCGGAGGCTGGGACTGATGTTCTAGGCTGGTCTTGCATGGGTGTCGGCCTGCTTGTGGTCTGCAGGATCTTCAGACTCGACGGCTTCATTGGGAGGTCGCTTGGCTCCCGACGGCTCTTAGTCGCTTTTTCGGAGGAACCTGATCCTGAGTGTGTGCGACCGTTGCGGCTAGACGAATGGCTAAAGTCGAAAGTCTAAAGAATTTGTCTAGGAGTTCCCCGGCACTGGAGTTGCATCACGCGGCTTTGGCTGTTGATGTTGGGAAGAAGTCCTGCTGATAAGCCGCTGTGCTTACGAGGTGCCTCGAGTGGCTCCGTCTCCTTGGGAGGAGTGTGCGTGCGGCAGAAGTTGTGCGCTTTTCAAAGTGCGGTGGCAAGCATGCGAGCTTGGAATCCAGGAGGGTCCTCAAGCTCTTTGGGATCGCACCTCTCTGGCTGGGCCCTCAAACGGCTAGCCTGTTTGTTGATGTTCCCCGCTTTCTGAGCATGACGTTGTACTGGAAGCGGATCAGAGATCGCTTGCAGGAGGCGCCTCCTCAAGGGCCTCGCACTTAGCGAGCGGCTGGGCGCCTAGAGGGTTTCCTAATGTGCGCCGATGACCGGTCGCCGGTCGTTTTTGCACTGCACATTCCAAAGAATGTAGCAGGAGCCTCGGGGATGTTTGGCGGAGGCTGGGACTGATATTCTAGGCTGGTCTTGCATGGGTGTCGGCCTGCTTGTGGTCTGCAGGATCTTCAGACTCGACGGCTTCATTGGGAGGTCGCTTGGCTCCCGACGGCTTTTAGTCGCTTTTTCGGAGGAACCTGATCCTGAGTGTGTGCGACCGTTGCGCGCTAGACGAATGGCTAAAGAAGTCGAAAGTCTAAAGAATTTGTCTAGGAGTTCCCCGGCACTGGAGTTGCATCACGCGGCTTTGGCTGTTGATGTTGGGAAGAAGGGGAAGAAGTCCTGCTGATAAGCCGCTGTGCTTACGAGGTGCCTCGAGTGGCTCCGTCTCCTTGGGAGGAGTGTGCGTGCGGCAGAAGTTGTGCGCTTTTCAAAGTGCGGTGGCAAGCATGCGAGCTTGGAATCCAGGAGGGTCCTCAAGCTCCATGGGATCGCACCTCTCTGGCTGGGCCCTCAAACGGCTAGCCTGTTTGTTGATGTTCCCCGCTTTCTGAGCATGACGTTGTACTGGAAGCGGATCAGAGATCGCTTGCAGGAGGCGCCTCCTCAAGGGCCTCGCACTTAGCGAGCGGCTGGGCGCCTGGAGGGTTTCCTAATGTGCGCCGATGACCGGTCGCCGGTCGTTTTTGCACTGCACATTCCAAAGAATGTAGCAGGAGCCTCGGGGATGTTTGGCGGAGGCTGGGACTGATGTTCTAGGCTGGTCTTGCATGGGTGTCGGCCTGCTTGTGGTCTGCAGGATCTTCAGACTCGACGGCTTCATTGGGAGGTCGCTTGGCTCCCGACGGCTCTTAGTCGCTTTTTCGGAGGAACCTGATCCTGAGTGTGTGCGACCGTTGCGCGCTGGACGAATGGCTAAAGTCGAAAGTCTAAAGAATTTGTCTAGGAGTTCCCCGGCACTGGAGTTGCATCACGCGGCTTTGGCTGTTGATGTTGGGAAGAAGTCCTGCTGATAAGCCGCTGTGCTTACGAGGTGCCTCGAGTGGCTCCGTCTCATTGGGAGGAGTGCGCGTGCGGTAGAAGTTGTGCGCTTTTCAAAGTGCGGTGGCAAGCATGCGAGCTTGGAATCCAGGAGGGTCCTCAAGCTCCATGGGATCGCACCTCTCTGGCTGGGCCCTCAAACGGCTAGCCTGTTTGTTGATGTTCCCCGCTTTCTGAGCATGACGTTGTACTGGAAGCGGATCAGAGATCGCTTGCAGGAGGCGCCTCCTCAACGGCCTCGCACTTAGCGAGCGGCTGGGCGCCTAGAGGGTTTCCTAATGTGCGCCGATGACCGGTCGCCGGTCGTTTTTGCACTGCACATTCCAAAGAATGTAGCAGGAGCCTCGGGGATGTTTGGCGGAGGCTGGGGCTGATGTTCCAGGCTGGTCTTGCATGGGTGTCGGCCTGCTTGTGGTCTGCAGGATCTTCAGACTCGACGGCTTCATTGGGAGGTCGCTTGGCTCCCGACGGCTTTTAGTCGCTTTTTCGGAGGAACCTGATCCTGAGTGTGTGCGACCGTTGCGCACTAGACGAATGGCTAATAGTTACTTGCAACAAAGCTTGCCGACTTGCAAGACTTATGTCAGGAGACGTCTGCCAAAATGGCTCTGCCATTTTGGCCCAAGATCGTGGACCGTGGGTCCTTCATAATTTGAAACAGCTCCCGCTTTCTCCCTTGCGACTGTCGACCATGGCACTCACCCCCGTTGCTAATGTCGATGACGTCCTGGCCTCCAGCATGGAGACGGTTGAGAGTTTGATCCCCCCTCGCGACACAGGGGACAGTGATCAGGAATGGGAAAAGCCCGACGACGAAGTCGCTTTGGCTCGTGCTACCTTGGCCCATAATGTCCATGCCCATGAGGATGAGTCTGCCAATTCGGCATTGGCCTCCTTCACGACTTTGGAGGTGGATGACACCAGCATGGACTTGCGACTCCAGGAAATGGAAGCTGCCATGAAACGGCTGCTGGCCAAGGGCAGCGAGATGGTGGCGGTCAAGGAAGACACCTCCTTGCCCAAGGACATGGACACCACGGGATCGGAGGTGCCCACCACAGGTGACTTTGTCCCTGAGGGTGCTGCTACTGATGACCCCATGGACAAGCCGGCGGTGCCAACCACAGGTGACTTTGTCCCTGAGGGTGCTGCTACGGATGACCCCATGGACAGGCCCGAGGTGCCAACCACAGGTGACTTTGTCCCTGAGGGCGGCGACACGGTGGCCAAGGACGATGCCAACAAGCCCCGGCCCTACTCGGCCCTGCCCGCCGGCACCCTGGAGGAGAAGGTCTTCAGAATCGAGGGCTTCCCGGAAAACTTCCCCGGCATCGGCAAGAAGAGTGCAGACTGGGCCCAGCAATTGACAAAGGAGGAGATCGCCTCCTTGTTCTCCGAGCTCAAGGCGGAGCAGTGGAGCCGCCCGGCTGTGGAACGAGTCCTTGAGGTGTACCAAATCTACAAACGACAGCCGGCACAGGAGAAGATGCTGGCCGCCCCCTACAACCGTGCTCGCAGAGGAGTGGGGCACAGCAGCATGGGCCAACTTGACCCGGGCAGCACGGGGGCTACCCTCATGTGCCCGAACTGCTTCTCGGACTGGCAGAGGCAGGACAACAAGGTGGAGGGGAAATGTAAGCTCTGCCAGAAGTCTGTCATCGCCGTGGACAAGGGCCCGCCCTCGGCAGAGATCAAGCTAGGCCAGTCCTCCTGGCGAATGTTCTGTGGCCCCCAGGGTGTCACATGGCACACGGATGCAGACGAGGCCCAGAAGGAAGCCGCCTCCGTGGACATTGGCTCTTGGGCCCAGCCTCCACCCAGACCCACGGATCAGAAGGAGCTGAGCTTCGCCGACCAGGTGCCTATGGCCCTGAGGCTTAGCTTGGCTCACACGGTGGCAACACAGCCCTTCGACGAGGTGCAGTTTGCCGACAAGGAGGCAGGGGACAGACCCCACCTCCGGGGTGACTGGCAACCAAGCCAGGAGACGAGGGCTTTCCATCCCCAGCTGGCGGCGGCGATGGACATCACCAAGAAGAGCTCGGGCCCGGTGGACAAGCAGCCCAAGAAGCCCACGGAGGAGGAGTTCTTGGATCACATCAACCCCCAGCTGGATGTGATCGTGGAGATGCAGGCGGGCGCACAGAGTGTCGAGGAGGCAAAGGGTGCGTCAATCCTCCGGCAGCTGGATACAGAGAAGCTTCGTTCCCTTCTTAAGCGAAATTACCTGCAGGGCCCCGGGAATCAGGGTGACGAGTTTTTCGCTGCGCAGACTAGCCTGGAAGAGGCCAAGGCCTCGAACAAGCGCATGCAGGATGAGGGATCCCAGCGCTCCCAGCTCCTCCGGCCGGTGGCGGACTCCATTGATACCTGGGGCACCCAGCTGCGCGCGGCCCTGGAGATGAACGTGTTCAACCCGGAGTGCCCGCTCAAGGATATGGAGCTTGACGACATCGAGGCCCTTAAGGAAAGGTACTTGAACACGAAGTTCCTGCTAAATCAGAGCAGGAATCCGTTCCCTGCCTCCCTTCTGCAAGAACTTCCCACTTTGGCCGCTCTGCAGCGTGAGGGCGAGCGCGTCGCCCGGGACTCCGGCGAGGGGCTGTCTTCCACAGGTGCCTTTGGCCCTGAGGAGCAGTCCCCGGAGGCATGCTTGGGTGTTCCAGTGGGCTCGGTCGAATTCCAGATGCTTCGCCTCAAACGCATCATCGAGCTGCACATGGGGGAGCAGCGCATGATCGGGGGCAGATGGAAGCAGCACCCGGGGCCCCTTGAGCCCCCTACGTGGGCAAAGCCCCTGCCCGAAGGGGAGAAGATCATGCTGGAGATGAGGACACACCCCTGCTCCTTCAGGCAGCCCTTCTTTGAGCCGATTGCCCTCACCATGGAGGAGATTGAGGCACAGGTTGCAATGGGCACTAGGCCCCCCCTGGATAAGATCATCGGCCCGTTCCATGCTGAGGGGGACGGGAACACCCACTGGAGAAAGGAGGTGCAGACGTGGGACTTGGTTAGCCTCTTCTCCTGCTTCGGCCACACCTACTCGGCCAGGCACCTCTACGCGGTGTGGAGCCACCTGCCGATCACCGTCAGGTCCCACAAGAGAGGGGCCAAGAACAAGCAGCAGAACCTGCAGCGACGAGACGACCACCGGGATTTGATGAAGGAGGCCAAAGAGTTTGTGATTCTGCACGACCTCCCGGTGCCCACGACAAACCAGGAGTGGAAGCAGCTCTACCGCGAGATCGGTTCATTTTTCGCTGCCAAGGTCTTCATCAACCGTACGCCGCAGGTGGTCTTGGACCTCCCTGTTGCTGACATCCATGACTCCAAGCAGCACATGCGATTGAGAGCCGTATGTGACGAAAGGATCACCCTTCCTTTGAAGGCCTTCCGGCACTTCCCGGAGATCTACAACTTGCTCTCCAACTCGCTGGGTCAAGAGTCGGTGGTGGAGGTCAAGATGGCGTGGCGCTGCAACACCGTGCAGTGGTGGACAGCCCGCCTCAAGCCGGAGTACGCCGGCCCCATCTACCGCAAGCTTGGCTACTCGGAGAGCCACATCAAAGGCCTCGGCTTGGGGGACAGGGACTCCTCAGCTGCCTTTGGCGCTGAAAGGATCCCCCTGGACCCGGGGTCGGAGCAGGAGCGCTCTCTCCCGCCCATCACCCCGGACAATGTCACGAGCGTGGCCTCGGACGACTACAAGAAGAAGAACGTGGGGGATAAGACGGCCCACGTCTTCTGGGCCAAGATGGAGTGTGGCCTGGTCCTCAGCTCCGTTTCCCCGTGGGAAATCGTTGACAAGAAGAAGGGTGAGACTCGTGGGGGCTACGTTTGCCGCCACTGCAAAGGGTTCTGGCGAAGTGGCAGAGGGGCCAGCCGTTTCCTTCTCATCACGGGGGAACACAAAGGGAAGTCGGCCCAGCTCCAGCTCATCCTGGACGAGCCCCCCCAGCACCTCTACGAGTCCTGGGTCAAGGACCGGATCGAGTTCTACAAGAGGGTTGAGCCCACGGCGGCCCCCCGTGATCGCTCGCTCCGGGTCAACCCGAGCCTTAGCTCCAGGCTCCGGTTCAGCAAGACGAACCTCATGGGCCAGGTCTCCGACATGATCTGGTCGGTGGTGCTCTCCAACCCGGAGCGGGATGGCCTCAAGAAGATCCACGAGCTTGCGGCATCCCGGGTCCGCCCGGCCTGAGCCCTGTTTTCTTTTTGAACAAGGCATGTGGAGGGGGAACCCCTGCCAGGTGCCTATGGCCCTGAAGGGGGTCTCCTCTCCCTTCTGGCTGCTGTAGCTTTTCTTGAGGTCATGTGCCTTGGGCCCTGAGGGGAACTGTCTGAAGTGCAAGTACCTACACTACTCAGGACTTGGGCCATGTCACAGGCCTTTTCTTCGGCAACAGGAATGCCCTCAAGGGGAGGGGGTGGGACCTCCAGGCGCCTTTGGCCCTGATGGTTCCCCCCTGCGTCGACAAGGGAACGACTATTTGCCAGACCGTCGGCCTACAGACCATCGCCCCGTGCGAAAACAAGTGCCCTTGGACTGCATTGGTTTTTCTTCTCTCTCTCTCTCTCTCTCTCTCTCTCTCTCTCTCTCTCTCTCTCACTCTTCCCTACCTCTCCTTCTCCCGTAGTCGCCGTGGCTCAGGATGACTACCTTTGTATTTTGTTGCCCATCTCCCTTTGGGAGGGCCCTTGTCAGGGCCCCTGACCCTCTCATCTCTGCTCTCTTTGAGCAAGGCATTGGCCCCCTTCAGTCGGATGGCGAGGTTCTTGCAGGAGTGTTACTAGACCCGATCATCAGGGGGTCGGGTCGCTCCTTCGAGGAGGAACAAGTTGATGTGACACGGCCCTGGGGGCAAGAAATTGTGGATTTCATGGCCCGTTGTAGGCCTACCCAGGAACTGGATCGTGTACTAGGTGTCCCCGATGGGCCACCACGACCTGTGGTTCTTTCATACCGCCCCACACTGGTCTTCCAGCTGATTGTGGAAAGAGCTCTCTCTCTCTTCTCAGGCC